AAATAAATGTGATGCGTCTTTAGAGATTCTAAGTTGTAATAATTATTAGGTTAATAAATCATACTATCATTGTAAGGTAATAGGATATTATAAAATTCCACTAATAGATTTAATATTGCTGTTGTTATTTCAATTAGAGTTTATTAAGTTATTTGATTCATATTAAAATTCATTAATAATTAAGAATAATAAAAAGGTTTAGTTTTAGAATGTAATTTTTAAATTTAAGTATATGAAGAAAATGGTTTTACCTATTTTATTTTAATATAGGCTTTCGCATTTTCTAATCTGTCTACTTCTTATTAATAATTTCCTAAACTCATAAATTCCTTTATTTCATTCAAATATTATACTTATTTAAAGAATATTAGATATTTGAATGATATGCAACAGATTTTCTGTTCAAATTACTTGTTATTTGTTATGAAATTGATTTTGGTCTTTGAGAAATAAATGAAAATTAAATTCATAAATTAGTTGCTTTATTTATGAATAATGATTATAATCAGACTTACAATTTTTGACTAATGGAGGTTTATAAAACAATTTATAATTGAATCATAATGCTAAACAACTAAAGAATCTAAAAATAAATTTTACTAATCCTAAAGGTCAATCAAATAAATTTCTTATTTTTCATCTCTAGCAAAGAATTATCAATTTCAATCTCATATTCATAAAATTGAAATTAATTGTTTAAGAATATTATTCTTCCTATAAGAGATGTGCAATTCAATTAGATTAATAAATAGTTTGTAATCCAATATAAAATAAAGGAAAAATTGAGAGAAATCCATTAAAATTTAATATATTATATAAATATTTGCACATTTTATTAATTATACAATTATACCAAGGATTAACTATGGTCAATATCTCTCAATTATAAAAAAAAACAAAATTATAATAAATCATTATAGATCAAATACAACTCAGCATTGTGGTTCAAAATAATAGTGCAATTAAGTCGTTCTAATAGATTTATTTTGAATTTATAGTTCCTCAACATTCATTATTTTTTTTTTCTTTGTATTAATCAGTATACAAAAGGAACCATAAATTATATATTGCTTTGTAATTCTATGCATAATCTGTCTTTTAACAACTTTCAAAAATATATAAAATATTGATTTTTTATACATGTATGAAAGCAATATTAATCCTATATTAGAATGATCTTCTCCCAAAACACAATCTATAAAACTTTTTAAAATACAAAATTTAGAATAATATATTCAGTTAACCATAATTTTACCTTCTTTGGCACGGTCACAAAAGTTGGGATTTCCTTTTCCATTAGGTTAAAGTAAAATCCATTTTAATTTATGATATATCCTTTAATTTTTTATCAATTTAATGAATGATAAAAGCTGATTATATTGCTTTTATATATATTGAATAACATAATATCAATTCTCACTCTCCATTTACTTATAGAGTAACCAAAAGAGCCGCAACAATACATTAACCTAATACTACAGTAAATAACAGCTATTGGTTAAAAAGGGCAGATTGATTATATATTTATCTTAATTTATTCCCATATAACATAATATGAAAGCATATGATCATCAACTATTATAACTATCTTAAAAACTTCCTGATACATAAACTTTATACATAAAGGCAAAGAAATCCATACAGAATTAAATCAGAATAATCTAATGTATTTATTATAATTCATCCATATTTCTAAGAGATGTCATACATTTGTTTAGAATTCATTCATTTATTTTTCAGAAAATGAAAGTAATTTAAAAAATTCACTTCACGATATTGCTAGCCCATCAGGATTGACTCTAATGATTTCAAAGTAAGGGAAATTTTTCTTACCTTAATTCATCAACAAGGCTTTCAACGAATAGATAGACCTCTGTTCTTCTTCTCTACATTCTTTTCCCCTTTTCAACAGGAATATCTTCTCGCCCCAATCTGTTTTAAACAACTTTGTCTCTAGGAACTTAAATTCTCTAATTTAATTTTTTTGAAGGAGAAATCTAGCTCTCGACTAGCTCTTAGCAAGAAATATTTAGACTTCTTAGAATAAGGTCTAATAGTGTTAAAGCTTGAATTTGGTTATTTGATGGCAAAGTTTTCGTTAAGAAATTTCAGAGTAGTTGAAAATATCAATTTGATTGAGATGATATTCGTTGCTTCCTTCTAAACTCAACAGGTCAAATGGCAGAGTATATTTTTCAAAAATGTTCATCATGATTGAGAAACTCCTCTTTTAATTTTGAGAATGCCTCAACATAAAATCTTACTCTTCTAGTCTTTATTTGGATTGCAGAGGTTAATTAAAATCCAAAGGTATTCAATTTTTTTCTATTATTACAGTTGGGTTGCCATGTGCATTGCCTGGTGTTATATTAATTAAATTTTTCATATATTTTATTACATGTATGATGAATTAATCATTTTTTTCATACCAAAATTTTAAGTAGCTAAGATAATTATTGCTTTGTAATTAGTCGACTTCATTTTCAAATCATCAAGTATCAAGTGTATCTGGGTTTTATTAAAGATTTTCTCATCTTTCTGAATTTGCTAGTATCTTTGAAT